TTTATAGATCTGGATCGTCGAAAAAAAGTAATTTCCGGATAATCAGATGATCAACAAGGTTTAGTAGTAAACAGAATTTTCTCGATCGAAAATAAAGTTGAACCAAAAAAGAAAGAAAGAAAGAAAGAAATTTGAATAAGCAATAAAAATTAATTTCTGTTTCTTTTTCTTTCTCAAGTATTTTAAATGATGATTTCCATAAGCTCGTTACTGTTAAATTGAATTTGGAAATAAATTTTTTATTTTCAAAACGCTAATTTCGATTGGGAAAAACGAAAAAGAAGAATTTTTTTTTTACTCTTAATTAATTGCTACGGCAATATACTTAATGATGATGATGATGATGACAATTTAGAACGAAAACTAATACCATTTTCATCATCATTATCATCATCAACAACAACATCGTTAAGAAAATTGGCATACTGAATTGAGAGAGTGAGAGAATCCAGAATATTCTATGTTCAATATTCATTCATGATGATTTACCGTTTTGTAATTTCAGTATAATGATGATGATTATGATTATTATTATAATGACTTACGTAATAATAATGAAAAAAAATGTCATGAATTTTTTCTATATTTCGAAACGTTTTTTTCATTTTCATCTCATCTCTGTTTATAATCACATCTAGATAATAATAATAATAATTTTGTTGTAATATAAATATTATTAATGTTATCATCATCATCATCATTGAAGATCTGTATAAAGCTATTTTACAATATTATGATATAATCGAAAATACAAAAAACGAAAAGATTATTTTCATTTAATAATAATATCATCATCACATGTTTATACAAACAACAATTTTTCAAACCCAAAAGTGAAATGGAATTTTCGTTTTTTGTTGTTGTTGTTGAATTCATAAGTGTATTCCATCGACCTACATTATCCCATCATCATCATCATCGTTCGTCGTCATCGTTCGTTTAGCCCGAATTATCATATCAACGATGATGATGATCCCATCGTCATCTCATTTAGTTCAATTTATAATGATTATATTAATTATTTTCATTTTTCTCTGCAAAATTAATGATAATAATAATAATGATATGGAGGATAATAATAATAATAATTATTATTTTTTGTTGTTGTTAATTATGATGAAATTATTCTAATCATCATCATTTTGTTTTTTTGTTAATGAGAATTATTTGGATGAAAAATTTTCCTTTTTCATTCTTTTCATCCAATATTTCATCTTATTGAGAGCTTAATCTTGACTAATTTTTTTTGTTGGCCGACTTGAAATCACAAAATGACTTCTCGATGCTAAAGAATTATTGTTCGGAATATTCATTCATTTTATGAATTTCAAATATTTGATGATGATGATGATAATCAAATATTATGATTTTCAATTATGATCAATAAATATTGTGAAATTGAATGGCCCAAAATTATTATTGCTGCTGCCACTAAATTCCTTTAATAGATTTTCATTATTTCCAATTTACTTATATTCAATAAATGATAATTGTGAACGGAACAAAAGTCTTGAATAAAAAAATTCCATATGATTCCCTATATTGTCATTGTGAACAATAATAATCATTATTATTATTATCCTTAAGCATCATTAAAGTTTATTATAATTCTAATAAGAATAAGGAATAAAAAGCAAAAGTATGTAAGTTTTTTATTCATTCATTCATATATTCCATATAACATCTTTATACAATTTTTCTATTTTTTTCCAATAAAATCTACACACACACTTATCGATTTACGTGACTTTTTTTTTGCCCGTCGCTCTCTGTGTTACTTTCGGTGTTAAACTTATTTTTATTTTTATTTTCTTCTTTTTTTTGGTTACACAAGAAGAGGCGGGGGTGTCGGAAAAAAAACAGCAAAACAAATGAATTTTTTGCTGCTGCTTGGTTTCTTTCATTTCTGGGCTCCTTGATGTATGTTTCTCGCCATTTCTCTTTCTTCGCTTCCTCATTATTTGAGTTAGGTGTTTTTCATTCGTACATTTATTTTTCAAATTGTCGTTGGTTACGGAATCATTATTATTACTATTATGATATACCAGCCACCACTAAAGAAAGAAAAAAAAAGTACCATATATAAACGAACATTGTCCCAATGTATTGCGATCGATCGATTTTTTTTCCTTTTCACTTTGCTAACGAATTTATGGATGAATGATATTCAGTGTGTGTCAAGTGTGCGGTATATATTTCATACCCTGAAAAGAAATAAACGAAAAAGAAATCGAAATAAAAATGTTGAATAAAATGACAAACCAAATATATAATGAAGAGAGAGAGAGAGGGAGAGAAAACGATAATAATAATAAGAAATAAAAAAATGATCAGATTAATGATGTCTTATTTTTCTTTTTTTCTTTCGTTTGTTTTGGCTATACTTGTTTGATTTGAACACCCACACACACAATGTATTATGTGAAACATTTCTTTTTTTTGAGTGTTTTCACAAAATGATCATCAAATCAAATCAAACGGATCATTCAACAAAACAAACGAAAAGATGAAAAAAATATAACAATGTTTGTTTTTTTTTGCAAGATTTAGTCGTCATCATCATCATAATAATTGGTTCAATAATAATAATAATAATATTATTATTATTTTGTTTCATCATCATCATCATTATTGATGTTGTTGTTGGTGGATTTTTTTTTTTGAATGTACTTTTTTTCAATAATTTCATCAATGGATGTTATATGTGTTTTTCCCCTTTTTCTACATTTCTACGATTCAGGAATAGCAAAACGAACGAAACAAACGAAAAGAGAAAAATCATTTCAAATGGATTGGAATATTATTGGGCAATTTATTTTTCGATTTTCTTTTTCAATTTTTTTTTTCGGTAGTTCAAAAGATTCATTCATTCATTTTTTCCCTTACCAAAACTGGTTCAAGTGAATTGGAGAGAGAGAGAGAAAAAAAAATGTTGGTCATTGAATGAAATGAAATGAAAAAAACTTTATAATAAAGGAAAGTAAAGTAATTTTTTATTTTTCAAAAAAAAAAATTCTTTTCAAACTTTATTTCGATGACGTCCTGTTCCAGAACGGTGACAACCAATCGACAATATGCTATCGTTTTTTTTTTGCAGTTGTAGCGGGAATGTTTTTCACTGGGATTCACTGGGTTAACAATTCCATTGAATTCCATATGGTGGTAGTAAGTTTCTGGTTGAATTGTAAATGGGAAAAGAAAAATAAAGAATATTCACTAGAATTTTTTTTCACTAAAAAAAACTAGATCAATCATTAAATTAGTTTGGTGTGTTGGTTTCGATGACCAAAGAATTTTTCCAAAGAATTTCACTTTTTGTTTCTGAAAAATTATTCCGCATACAACGCACATAAATTCGTCATTATTCAATGGTAATTATGAGTTTTTTTGGCTCATCAAAAAATAAACTTTCTTTCAAAACCAAGCCTATGTTTTTTATTTTTTTGTTTGAATTCTATGACGCCAGGTTGCTTCCGAAACAGAAAAATCCATTGGCCTGCTGCTGATTTGGTTTGTTTTTTTGGAATGAATGAATAAATTTTTCATTTTGAAGCAAAAAAATGTCTCCATTTTGTTTCATTCATGTTTTTTTTCAATTATTCATCATCACAACACTGTTATTATCAAACACAAACACAGACAGGCAACATTGAATGAAATGTAAATGAAAAAAAAACATCGGGTATTCAAAAATGATGAAAAAAAGGATTTTTCTTTTTTTAATTATAAATATTAATTATGGGCTGTTTTCAGTGTTGTTGTTGTTGTTGTTCCATGGAATTTTTCGGTTGAAAAGTGATTTTGGCCAGAAAAAAAACAGTAATAAGTTTTTTCATTTTGAATTTTGAATGTTTCAATTTTATACATTCGCTATTTATACACGCACACAGGTTTTCGGAAATAAAGTTGTTTCAATTAATCAAAAAGAAAAACTTTTTGTTTAAAATTTAAATAAAAACATACCCGACTGATTGAAAAATTGATTTTTCGTTTCAGAATGACCAAATGATTATTATTATCCATAATAGCAATGATAATATTAGCGAAATTAACAATAATTTCATTGAAATTTTCAGAATATTCCAAAAAAATTGGCGAATAAAATATTTTGTATATGGAATCATGATTTCGATTTCGATTTCAAAGTTTTACAAGCTGTTATTTTTATTTAAAAAGAAAAAAACACTGATGGTGTCCACACCAGTGTCACCGAAACAAACAAAAAAAACTTGTCAAATTATCATTTATATTTGAATTTTTTTTTCTTCTCATCTGGAATGATCTTTTTCGTTGAAAATCACTATATTTATTTATATATTTCGTTCTTGTTTCGAAGAACAACAGAAAAAAACAACAACGACGACGATCCTTGATTCGTGATATGACATATATTTTTTCGGTTGTTTTATTTTCTGAATTGTGTTTTGGTCTCTCTCTCTTTTTTGGTTTTGGTGATTGAATTGAATCATTTTTTTTCTTGTTGTTATTATTTTGGACAGCGTTTTCAGTTCCGTGATTTTTGTTTTGTTTTGTTTTTTGTTTTTGAAGGTGGTTACATAACCTGTCTTTTACTTTTTTTTAATTGAAAAAATTTTTAGAAACAAGGGCGCCATCTTTTGATTTTTTTAAAAAGAAACCATTTGAATTGTTTTTCAAAGATTTTTCAGAAATCTCACACCAATACAAAGTAAAGCAAAGGGTTAAGTCATTCAATAATTGGTTTAATGATAGTTTTATTATTCATTTTTTGATAAATAGGATTACAAAAAAAAATTACAAATCAAAAATCAGAAAAACCATTGTAAAAAATGTACAGAAATTTCCAAATTAAAAAAAAAGAAGAAAGAAAAAGATTCAAAGGTCAATTATAGCCAATTTATATAAAAAATTGATTGATTAAATGGATGGATATTCATATTTTTATATACAGATTATAATAATAATGTTATAAATAATTTTCAAAAAAAAATTAATAAAAAAACAACAAAAAAAGAAAAGAAAAATGTTACAAATTCGTATAATAAAATTCATATCTCGTTGATAAAGGGAGAAAAAAACAAGAAGAAGAAATTTAAGCTCATTTTGGACACATCAACAGCAGAAGAAAAAAAATTGATTGAAGATCAGAAAATCAGCAATGTCCCAATAATGTGGGCATATTTTTATTGGCACGTTGAGCTGCCATTGATGGTGTTTGTGGTCGTGAACCACCATTAACACTTCCTTGGGCAGCAATTGAATTCGAACTAGCTGAATTAGCTGAACTAAATTGATAATGTTGTTGTAGATTATGATGATATTGTTGATGATTTAAATGTTGGGTATGACCAGTATGTATTGGATCACCATTTAGGAAAACACCTTGTTGACTATATTGAACGGTTGCCGGTGTAAATGTTCCACCACCAACACTATTAAATAGATTGCCATTCGTCGTACGATTATTATTGATATTGGTTGATGATGGAGGTGGAACAGGTGGCGGTGGTGGTGGTAAAGGTAATGATTGTTTATTCGCTGCATTTGATAACAATGGTGATGATGGTATATTAGTAATATTATCGGTTAACATTGTTGTTTGATAAGCAACAGCACCACTACCATTACTACTATTATAATGTCTAATTGATGATGTTGATCGGCTATTGATTGGATTATTTGCTCCATTTGATTGTTGTTGTTGATTATTATTATTGATAATTTTATTATCACGTGCATGCACAGCCTCCCATGAACGCAAACGACTATGCAGATCATGAAATATTGGACGTTGATTTGGTGTTTCTTGCCAACATTCTAACATCATCGCGTAGATATGCTGTGGACAACCAGTTGGACATGGTAATAGCTGTCGGGAACGTACCATTTCAATTACTTCAGTATTTGAATAACCAGAATATGGTTGTTGTCCAAAACTAAATATTTCCCATAGAACAACACCAAATGACCATACATCACTTTCAGTTGTAAAACGTCCATAAAGACAACTTTCAGCTGGCATCCAACTAATGAAATGAAACAATAAAGATAAATAATTTTAAGCAAATTAAAAAAACAAAGAAAAAACTTACCGAACAGGTAATAATGATTTGGATTGTACACGATAATAATCACTTGAATAAATATCACGTGATAAACCAAAATCAGAAATTTTTACTGTTAAATGTTCACCAACTAAACAATTTCTTGCTGCTAAATCACGATGTACATAATGATGACTGGACAGATATTCCATACCGGCTGCAATTTGTGTTGCAATATGTAAACAATCAGATATATCTAATATTTCCGATGGATCAATAGTAATATCGGTTATTATTGATGAATTTGGTCCATGTACCACAAGATATTCATGTAGATCACCTTTACGCATATATTCAAATAACATACACATTGGTTCTTCTTGAAAACAAACACCCAATAAACAGACAATATTTGGATGTTGTAATTCGGCCATCAAATCAGCTTCACGACGAAAATCTTGTTTAGTTTTTAATGATGAATTTTCTTTTAATGTTTTTATAGCTATAGGTACTATTAATGGACCACCATTTGTCATCAATAATTCACCACGAAAAACTTTACCAAATGCCCCTTCACCTAATTCCTGAATGAAACGTATTGTTGACATTGAATATTCAGTTGGTGTACGACCGGATGGTATACGACCACCACTCGATGATCCATTCGATGATGATGATGATGTTGAAAATTGTTGTTGTTGATGTTCACCCGATGGATGATGTGGATGACTTTGTTGACTTTGATTATAATGATTTTGTGGTAATAATGCATTCATTTCCAAACTATTTCCACCTGCATGTTCACCAATATTATAACCACGAATATTTCGATTCAATTGATGATTATTGTTATTATTGTTATTACTATGATTACTACAGGTACTATTCGATGTTAATGATGTTGTTATACCACCACCACCACCATTCGATTTATTTGTTGAAACATTATTATTGAATGAACTCAATAGACCACCACCACCACCACTACCGTTTAGAAATCCATTGAGTTTTCCATTCAATGAATTTGAACCGGTAAGAATTTGATGTTTATGATGATGATTATGATCATCAAGTAATGCACGATTTCTTCTCGATACAATTCTTCGTCGTCGTCGTATACAACAAACACAAACCAAAATAATGAATAATATTAGTGCACAAACAACCGGTGATATAATATAAAACCATAAATATTGATCAAAACATTTTGATAGATTACAAAATTCTTTACGAAAATCTTGTACATAACACCATGGTTGTTGTTCACGACCACCTGGATTACGACAATAATTATGGCCAGTTAATTCAGGATATTCTGATGTACGTAAAAATATTTGCTGACTCCAATACAAACATTTTGAACCGGATTGTGTTTGCATTGCTGTACCACGATATGATTGACCATTATCATTATAACAATTTTGATCTAAAGCAAGAAAAAAACTCAGATGTTAGATAAATGTTAGATCAATTGAAAAAAAAACAAACCATGATCTACAGGCATTGTATTTGGAATGCCAAGTCGTACACAACGTTGACCTTCATGTGAACCAATCGATGGCAGATCATCACATTCCGGCAGAATATCTTGATGACCAATTAATGGATGTTTTTTAGCAATAGCATATTCCATATGACAGATATTATTTTCTAACATTTCACATTCATCACGACAAACTTTACGTGGATATGGATATGAAAATTGATCATCACATAATGAAAATACATGAAAACAAAGCGATGATATTGCATAACGATGACATTGTAATGAAACATCCGGTGAATGAACAATAACATTAAATGCAGCTAATAATTTATTATCCATTATTTGTTGCCAAAATTCATTACGAACATAGATGGTACGATTTTGTAAAAATTGTGAACAAGCTTGTCCACGATATTGTTGACACATACCCGGTCCATTATTATCCAATAATAATGATGTTGGATCTTTTGAATCGATATTTGGAATTGCAAAGCTAAAAATCAGGTGAGAAAAAATGAAAATTAGTAAATCAAATGAATGAAATAAATTGATAAAACAAAACACCTATTATTGTTTGTAATCATATCAGTCATATTGAATAATTTAAATGTTGAAATATTAAAATTTTCTAGATTAGAAATTTGTTCAAACATTATTTCTGAACTCGATACAACAACAATCAATTGAATTGATGATAATAAGTGGAACAATTTAAAAAACAACATGATTTAGCGAGGTTAAATGATTTTAATCAGAAAAACTTGAAAATGTGGATTAGGATTTCTTCACGATGCTTTGGATGATGTTCATTGTTTTTCACATTAGATGAAAAAAATGGCTAAAAACCAAAGAAGGAACAAATTCTCTTTGCTGAATCCAAACACAAAAGAAACCAGAAATGAATGAATATATGAATATGACGCATGAGTAAATCAAATATTTAACACGGGCGGGTGGTGTACCATTTATATTTTGTTTTCACAATGGAAGATAGTATCCAAATGTAAGCAAGCAAGCGCAAAGCAAAATCTATTCCATCAAAGCCTGGGCGATGTCCATTAAATGAATTGAATGAGTCATTGTCCCCGGGTAGAGTTCGCAGAGAGCGAAGAGAAAAAAAGGTGCCATTGAAACATGAATGGGAAATCCAAAAGAAAAAAACAGTGTTCCAGGATTCTACTGAATTTTCAAAAAAATGTACTGACATCTAGTGTTTAGATTTGCAAAACATTAACGATGACAGTAACGAAGATTTGAAATCAAAATTGATTTTTCGTTTTGATCGTAAAATTAAATAATTTGTTTCAATTGAATTTCAAAAAAATTTGTTCCAGAAACCATATTAACAAAATAAAACACCAATAAAAAGTTTTGATGACAAAATTGCTGGAGAAAATCAAAACCATTTTTTTTTTGTTTTGATGAAATTTATTGCTTTAAAGAAATAAAAAAAGGAAACTTCTTTCTTTCTTTTTCGCTTTTCGATTTAGTTAGTTTGTTGAAATTCTGTGTTTTGGATCGATTTTTGAAATCAATTGAATTGAATTGAATTACTGGGGATATTTTGGGGATAAATTGTTTGGACAGTTTTTTTTCAGTTTGCCTTTTCAACAAATTGTCTCCTTTTTTTTCTTTTGTCCAGTGTGAATTGAAATTGTTGAAAGTTTTCTATTGAATGAAGAGAGATAATAAATTCGTTTAATATTGATCGAATGAAATTGAGTCAAGAATTTTTTTCAACTAAGTAAGTCAAATCATACAGAGAAAATCCTACATGACAATTTACAAACAAAAAATAGATGATGATCATCATCATAAGAGAGAGATTTATATGAAATTTATTTATTTTGATTTTTGAAAAAAAAATTTTTTCAACAACAACAGAAAAAAAACAGTAAAATGAACAGCAAAGTGATCAATGAAGTAATCCAGAAAAAAATGGGCAATCTAATCAAGTGAAATTGAAATGAAAAAGAAGAATATCTTGGCTTCTTGAATTCATTCATTCAATGATGTTTGATGATTGGATTTTTGCTGTTGTTGTTGTCCTTGCTTTCTTTTTTTTGCCATTTCGATTCGAAATAAGAAAATATACCAATTAAAATAATGACATTCTTTTTTTTCTGCCTGATAAATAAATATCGAATGAATCGATATCATTAACACTATTGATCACCAACCAAACGCACATTACGGCCTTTTTTTCGTACGGTTTAATCCGTTCATTTTATATGAAAGAATTATTTATTTTTTCAGCCGAATACAATTCACATTTGGCCAAAATGAATGAATGACGATTGATTTGGGAAGCTAAATTAAACATTATTTTTTTCACTATCCAATTTGGATCAATGTTCATGTTTGACATTCATCAACCAATGGAGAAAAAGAAATTTCCAATATAATGACATAATGTTGGTTGGTTGGTTTGTTTTTGTTGCTTGTCATGTAATTTTCTCAAATGTGTCAACAACAACAAAATAGCCAAAGAAAAATATTGTATCGATTTTGTTGTGTTGTATTGAGACACAAACACACACACATCGAATCGAAACTAAACAAAACAAAAAACTTTTACGACATCGATATGTTAATAAGTGATGATGATGATGATAAAACCAATAAATAAATAACCAAAACATAAATAAAGACAACAGAAAATTTTCAATATCGCAAACATTGATATTAGCCAAACAGGGGAGGATCACCATCATCATTGGATCAATGAATGAAAATTGCTGTATAGCAATATAAAGTTTCTTTTTTTCTTTCCCTTCCCTTTATCTCTTCGGTGTTATATAACGTAATGACAATGACAAAAAAAAGCTAAAATGAAAAAAGAGTAAAACTGTGTGTGTAAATGAGCTAGCTGGATGGCTATTATCATCATCATCATCAAGTTATGATGGTCGTCCAAATGAAAACATGACCAGAATTTTATTGGCCACATTTACTGTACATGTATTTGGTGTGAAATAGAGACGAAAGACAAACGACAACAGAAGGAGAAAAAAAGTCAAGATGAATCGATATAAAGAGGGAATTTTCGAGAATTGGGAAATTTCCAAACAGAACTTTAAAAACATTGAACAATCCGAATGAAAAATCGAATTGAATTTGAAGAAATACAGATTCTTTTTTGGATACATTTTTTTCACATTTAAAACAAAGACAAAATTGTAATTCATTTTTGAGAGAATTGAAAAATGATTCATATTTTTGTTACATTAAACTAATGAATTGATAAATATGAATGATTTTTGAAAAAATTTCTTTCGAAAAAAATGATGGATCGTTTTTTTTTCTTGGTTAGAAATTCTTTCCGCTTACACAAACTGTCATGTGTAATTTTCAACTCAATTGATTTCAGGAAATAGAGAGTTTCTTCGACAAGAAGAGAAAAGAAGCTTTGGATTCTTAATATTATGCTTTGATTGAAATATTTCTCATTTCATGTAACATCTTTATTGAAAATTTTTTTATTGAATTTGATTTTCAATAATTTTTGAACTTGGAAATTTAAGAAAGAAAAAATCCGGAAATGAATGGAACGGAAATTTCATTTTTGTTTCATAAAGAAGTTATGAAACAAAACAAAAAAAAACACAGTGGTAATCAGGAAACAAAAATCACAGCTGAAAAAAATGAAATAATAAAGTTTATTATCAGGCGTCAAATGAACAACAATCATTGTCATTCATTATTATCATCGACAAAGTATCTGAATTCATTGAATGCGAAACGAAGATGACGAGATGCGAAAAACAAATTTTTCTCCTTATTACAAATTGCTGGATCAAAGTATAAATCATATACAAAAACAACGGTGTTGTGTGGCACGTGACAATCATCAATAATTCATTCATTCATTTTCCGTTAGATTTGGTCTGAACTAGAATCCTGGATCAGAATTTCGAAAAGAATTTCAGAATCCTGAGTCTCAGGATGACGACAATACCCTTAGTTTTTTATGAATCGAGAAAAATGGTATGACCATAATATAATACAAAGGGGACAAGTGCTAATATGAATAAGCTAATAATGATGAAGAATGATATTTTTTTTGCTAAAGAAGATGATCAGAAATTAGAGAACATCAATTGAACACACACAATCAATCAAACACAGAAACAAATTGAAAGTAATGAAAATCAATGAATTCCAAAATATCATTATACGATATGATTCTACGTTATTCTGAATAAAGAAAGAAAATAGAAATGGAATTCTCCTGTCTTGAAAACCAAATTGACCAGAACACAAGAGAATCGTCCATTAGAAAGTTATTTGCCCACTTGGAATTGCTATGTTCGAGTGTATACACACACAATAATCATGATTTCGATTCACAATTGAAAAAAAAGATGGTAAGATGTTTTTTCGTTAATACAAGTCTTCTATGGCTGAATAATAACAGGAAAGATGAAGAGAGAAGTTCCTTCAATAATGAATTATTTAATTGATAAAATGACAAAACATACAGTCAGAAAACGAAAAGTTTGAAAAGAATGCTTTAGATTAAGAATCAAAGGCAAAAATTAATAATAATTTTTTTTGAATAATGAATCATCGAATTTCAAGATATTTTTATAATAAAATAATCCCTTTATTAGAGAAACTTTTTGTTGGGAAATCTTTTTGGAAACTTTTTTTTACCATAATCCAATGATCAATTAATAATTCTAGGTAGAATGAATTCGGAATCTTTCCGGAAAAAAAAGTTTTCGAAATGAATAAATAATTCTCTATTTATAGAGATGAATGTTGTAATATATTTATTTTGATGTGATTGTGATGATTTAATCACATCGAAATAAAGAAATCGTATTAAGTGTTGTTTATATTATGTAGCAAGAAAAGTAAAATGATAAATCTGATTTCTGTAAACATCTATATTTAATTATTTTGATGACCAAAAATAAAACTTTTCGATTTGTGAATCGGATTTTGTTTCGTTTGCTGTTGTTCAACAATGTTTTCAGCATTTATTCAGAATTTTTTTTTGTTTCTAGAAACTTTCTCCATTTGGGAATATTTTTGTCAGATGGTGATTGGAAATGGAAAAAAAATTGAATTGAAAGCAGAAGAAAAACTGATGCAGAATTTTTTTTTTGTCGTCCATATTGAAAATTGTTAAATTTGAATTAAATTTTCAATGATAATCAATTCAATTTTAAAATCAATTTGCAAAACATTCATTCACTCTCTTTCCCGATTCACACAGAGATTAAAATATGTATGCTATGCTGAAAACAGGAAACTTTGAAAGGGATTGAATATCATTTTACAAATCAATTTTATGTTTTATGTTTTTTCGATTAATTTTCCAAACAATATCATATCATATCAGATCTCCATCGTCAAATCAACCAGAAAAAAGATGGAAGAAAGATTCCACATTTTCAACGAATTAATTACATTATCCATGATCATCGTGATGATTTTTTTCATTATTTTTTTTTCTCTTTGCATTAAATAACAAAAAACATTTTCAATTTTTTTTTGTCGATATCATCATTGATTTGGTTGGCCAAACCAATGTTTGCTTGTGTGTGTGTGGTAAATATTGAAAACTGAAACTATTAGTTTAATCCATCATCATAATAACATTTTTCTTTTGCAGATTTTTGCCCTGAAAATTTCTTTGTCATTCAGTCAAATATTAATGGTTAGCATCATCTCAAATTTCAATGTTTTGTTGATATCGTTTCAATGCAAGTTTTCTTTTTTATCCAAAAAAATGATAATCATCATCATCAATTATGAATTTTTCTCCCATTCTTCCTT